CTTGTTTTTTTTAGTAATTTTTTTATCTTTTAGCAATGCTTTTTTTTTATAAAAGCGTTGTCTTTGTAGTGCTGCCGAAAACTACTTTTGGCGTAGTGACCCCTTTTCTAGTAACCAATTACACCTGCAGCAGAAGCACTTTTCTGTTGCTTATCAGTACGAAAAGCACTTTTTGACACACCCCCAAAATCCCACTTTGCATACAATTCGTGTAACACATGGTTTTACTCAAAAATCAGTTTTTATAAACATCAAAACCCCAATTGTTCTTCCCCAAAACATCCATAACCTAAGTTCTGACTCAGACTCATGATCGCACACAACAAAAACATCAACAACTATCAATTATACGATTCCAACAACAACAACAATTACAGTGAATCATCATACTAACATCAGTCACACCATCAATATACCAGACACAACATTCATCAAGAATTCATCGAATCCAACAATTACCAAATTCATCAAAATTATGAAATAAGAGAAGAAAAACACAAACCTTACATGGCATAATCTACCCACCATCATCATGTTAACCCTTAGATAACTAGAACCCGACTCTTACCTTAGAGTTCTTGGACAAAGCTTCACAACAACAGAGTCTTCTCTCTTCTCTGCCTTAGCCTCTACTTTCTCTTTCTCCAAAAACACGTTCTGACAATCCTCCCTCATAACTTCCCTTATATTTATTATATTATTATTATTATTATTATTATTACTAGCGTTCCCGTGCCCGTCTGTCCGTTTATTTTAATGTTCAGACGTTTAAATATATAAACGTATTTTTTGTGTATTTATTTTTTTAACTTAAAGTTTATATAAAAAATTTGAATGAAATAGTTGCGTAAACTATCATATAACAGTTAATAAAATAGAAGTTAGTTATTAAAAAATTTAAATTTTAAAATAAAAAACAAAAGGGTATAATTGGAATAAAAATAGGCTACACCAAATCCAAGTTTTTCTTTTATATATGTTATAGATAGATAAAAATAGGCTACACCAAATCCAAATTTTCTCTTTATATATGTTATAGATAAACATTATTCCCTTCTAATTAAAATAATAATAATGATTAATTATTTAATTTAATAATATTCAACTAATATTATAATTAAATAAATATTACTAATAAAGTTTAATTAGTCATTCTCACCATACCACCAAGTTCTACACAATTGGTCATACACCCTTCAACCATTAAAGTCTATTCTTAAGGTCACTACCCCACATCAAGGTAACTCAACACATCAAAGCACAACACAACCGATTGGATAAGAATTTTATACTCAAACCATTGGTCTCTGTGGTTCGATATCTATTTTATTACTTCACAACACCCTTGCAAACTTGTCCAAAACCAGTTTAATTTGAAAATAATTTATTTAATAAGTGATCATGGTGGTGAATTTATTAATCATTATTTTGAAAATTTTGATGACGAAAAAAAGTATAACCCATAAATTTTCATGCTTGTATACTCCACAACAAAACATAGTTGTAGAGTACAAAAGTCATGTTTTTGAAGAATTAGCACAGACTATGATAAGTAAGATGAGTCTACCAAAGTAATTATGGAAGGATGCGATTAACACCACATACCATGTCTTGAATAGAGTGGAAATTAGATATATCCTAGATAAAACCCCATATGAGTTAATTAAAACTAAAAAGTCAAGCATTTCTTATTTTCGTGTTTTCTGTTGCAAACGCTTTATTTTAAACAATCGAAAAGACAAGGTAGGTAAGTTTGATGTCAAAGTTGATAAGGGAATATTTGTAGGGTATTCCTTATGTAGTAAATCCTATAAGATTAAATATATAATATCTATTGTTCAACATTTTGTGCATGTAGCTTTTGATGAAATTTGACCCCAAGAAATGGAGAAGGTATTTCTTCTAGTTTTAATATTTTATGTGTAATTGTTGTTACAAGTGATTATCACACTCTTAGAAGCAACGTGTTATCTAATATGAAATGACATGCTTTTGAGACATATGATCTTTATGCGCTAAAAACATGTCACAAAGATGTGGTATCAGATGTCCCATACATTATGGAGTATGATATACTAGAAGCTACTACACCGCTCCAGAATCAAGCGAAAGATTTGTTTCCTTATTTATTTGTGTGTTTATGCTCTTTTTGGTATTAGGAAAGAATTCCAAAAAAACAATCACATATCAAGACCAAATCAGTGGTTGAGTTTTAAATTATGGAAGATTTCAAATCAAATTAAATCACAATTAGTAAAGAAATGTTCCTTAATATGAAAAAGAAACTTGGATCATTTACTTGGAATGCAATTATGAAATCTTTATTTGCACTTAAAGATGACTTTGAATTTATATTGGAGGATGGGAACTCCCCTTTCTGGTTTACCAATTATTATGGGGTAAGGAAATTAAGTAAACAGGTTCTGTATATGGATATCCATGATCTGAAAATGTGAATGAATGATGTTTATTTGGATGGGAATTAGATATTCAATTTATTATATACTAATATTCTCCCGGTTGTTTGTGCCGCCTGAAAGCGTTCCCTATTTATATGAACTCTTTGGTGCCTAATCGGTTAACTTGGAAAGGCAATTTAGATGATATCTATACTGCCCGAGATGGTTATAACTGGCTCAATAGACTTAAACTTATTTTGAATACAACAAACAATAACTCTAGGAAGTATGTGTGGTATAATCTTGCTCCTAAAAAGGTAAAAAATTTCCTTTGGACGATTTTACATAAATCCCTCCTTACGAGACTGATGTTGTGTCATCGTGGGATGCTCCAGATAGATCTCTTTCTTATATGCAATTAGGACGCTGAACGACTCTACAATGCTTGAGAGACTATGAATTTGCTATTTCTATTTAGAAGTTTATTGGCTTCTTGGACCCACTATTCTTTCAAAGGGATATTTTATATGATTGGATTATACACGACCTCGATGGTGGATCTATCTTTTTAGCTGCTTGTTGGTGGTTGTGGCGCGCTAGGAATAAATTATGTATTGCTAATCACAATGAATTGTGTTGAGTATTTAGGAGAATATGGAGCTGGTAATGATGCGACATACTAGTCTTTTGCAAAGTCTCATGTATGAATAATCACAATCTTGCTAGCTGACGCTAGTGAGACTTTATTTTCTAGATAATTTCTTGCTTTTTTTTCTTATAAAAATCAAACTATCAAAATTAAACTTTGATAGATGATTTATTTTTATAGTTGATATTTGCAACTAGGGGTGTTCAAACCCGAATTGGCCCAATAGAGAACCACTAACCGAACCAAAACAAACTGAAAACCGCAAAAACCCCATTTGGTTCGGATTTCTTTGGGCCATCTTTTAACAGAACCGTGCAGTTCAGTTTAGTTTTCGGTTTATATTTTGTAAACCAAACAAAATCAAACCAATACAACCCAGACTTCACTTAACCCACATCTAATCCGCATTATATTACAACCCAGACTTCACTTAACCCACATCAAACCCAAATTCATACCTAGTATGCATTATCCTTATAATTACGAATGATTTTCTTTTTCTCAGACTTAGGGTTTCAATTTTAAGTCTTCTCAAATATCTCTTAGCAGTATCGTGCACTCTTCTCATCTTCTTTGTTAGGTACATCTCGCCTCTTCCTCTCTAATCTCTTCTTTCTTATGTTCTTTCTTTTTTATTTTCTCATTTTTATGCTACTGTTATTTCTTTCAATTACATTTTTAAAGAACTCATTCTTCTCCAATCTCTCATCTCTTTGTTCTTTCTTTTTCATCTTCTCTAATCTCTAATCTTCTCTATTTTTTTCTGTTTTATTATAATATTTTTAGACATTGTTTTATATTTTTATTTTATATTTTTATTCTACTTTTGTCCAATCTGATTTTTGTATATTAAAAGAATTTTTTTTTTAAATATGATGAATTTTGTTGTTATTTAGTAATGTAGAATGACTAAACACAAAGTTGTATTGTTCTTTATATGTGTATGTATGATTCAATAGAATTTTTGTAAAAAAATTGAATGAATTGAACCAACCAAAACCACATTAATTTAATTTAATTCGATTTAATTTTATTTTTAAAAATCAACTGAATCAAACTAAATCGCACGCTTTTAACTTACAATTCAAATAATTTTTAACCTCAAAAATTCATATTCGCAACTATCAAAGTTAATTTTGATAGTTGATAGTTGCTTTTTTTCCTTACCAAAAGAAATTCAACTTTCAAAAATCAACTATCAATGTTAATTGTGATACTAGTTGATACTTGCTTTTTTGATTGTTGATATTTGCAACTAATAATAAACCCCACTACTCACTTTTACCTCACACAAAAGTTAACTAAAGTGGCTCCCATAATTCACTCATAATTTAAAAATAATATAAATAATTCCTCAGCCACCACAAACATTTCCTGCACCAATCACAACTCACACCCTTTGACCTCTCTCTCTCACTCCTCAATTCCCTGTTTCATAGATTGCTGCCTTTCAAATAATACACATTTCTGTTCACTAATTTCACTTCATGCTTCTTTCACAACCACAAATTTTTATTTTCATCTCAAAGTTTATAACTTTTTCTTTATCTCAATTACCCTTTTCTATATTTACACCTTTTATGCATTGAAACTGACTCAGTTACTAAATTTAACTTCAAAGCCATTTAGGTTCAGAGATTAGAGTCTTTCATTTTAATTTTGATCTGGGTTTTAAATTTTTTCTTTTTTTTCTTTTAGATCTGATCAGTTTTATAAAAGTTCCTATTTTGTATAGCATCTGTTAAAAAATTATGGAATTTTTCCTTGGATTTTGGAAACTAGTCCTTTTCTAGATTCCTCAGTTTTTTGGGTAGCTGAAATAAGCAGCAGATTCCACCGCCCAAATGCTGTTTGATAATATGCTTGTTTGGCCATAAGAACTTCCACTTTCTGTGGCTTATCTTATCTCTACCTCTTTCTCTCTTTGAACTTCTCTATTAGAGAGAGATTGTATGATGTTATCTAGAACAATGAATAGAGAAATTGAAGTTCTGTCTCCAGCTTCCTATATTGAAAATTCCAATTGGTTGTTTCAAGAAAACAAGGGTTCTAAATGGACTCAAGAAGAGAACAAGCTGTTTGAGAATGCTTTGGCTTACTATGATAAGGATACTCCTGATAGATGGATAAGGGTTGCAGAGATGATTCCTGGAAAAACTGTAGGTGATGTGATTAAACAGTATAGGGAGCTTGAAGAAGATGTTTGTGTTATTGAAGCAGGTTTGATACCCGTTCCTGGTTATACAACTGGTTCTTTCACATTGGATTGGGCTAATGATGAAGGCTATGAGGAGTTCAAGCAGTTTTGCAGTGTTGGTGGGAAGAGGAGTGGTTCGACTCGACCCTCTGAGCAGGAAAGGAAGAAAGGTGTGCCATGGACTGAAGAGGAGCATAGGTAATTACTTATGATAACCTTTTTGTTGATTTGTTTAGTATGTATCTAGTATCTTATGGACTCATGGTCTAATTTAGATCAATGTTCAAATATATGTTGTGAATCATCGATTTAGTCCTCGAAATCATAGGTATTAGGCAATTTTCTGAAGTTGAACATCGTCGATCTCATTAGTTCTTTTGGTTCAGTCAGTTTAATTTTTGAAATTGTACAGAAAACACTATTATGGTTGTAGCTTAACTCAATTTATCGATGAATCAAATGATTGGGAAGGGAAGAAACTTTGGCATACTGAGATGTTAAAGTAACATTGTAGTTAAGATGTTTCTTTAAGTTTTTTTAGCATTTAAGATATGGAAAGTTAATTTGTTTTGTTTGTTTTAAGAATTTCTAAGGCTGTGTTTATTATTATTTGTGAAGTACATACATCCGACGTGACATTGACATATAGACACCGCTAATAATTTAAGATAATAGAAGTGTTTGGATGTGTATCAGCATCATGTTGGTGTTGGACACCAGACACACATATGGTCCGTTTGAAATCTGAAGTGTCGGTGCCACGTAGATTATTATATGATTTTGTCATGTCGGAGTTGGACACCAAACACAAATATCCTCCGTCTGAAATCTGAAGTGTAAGTGCCACGTAAATTATAATATGATTCTCATGTCGGTTGTTTGTCGGTGTTGGAGTTGGACACCAGACACACATATCTTCTTTTGAAAATCTGAAGTGTCGGTGCCACATAGATTGTAATATGATTTTGTCATCATAAATGCTTTTCTTGTTGGTTCTTTGCATTTTATTAATAGAACCTTTGCATGTTAATCTACCACAGGCAATTTCTACTGGGTTTGAAGAAGTATGGTAAAGGGGACTGGAGAAACATCTCTCGGAATTTCGTGACGACAAGGACGCCAACTCAAGTTGCAAGTCATGCTCAGAAGTATTTCATACGGCAAGTTTCAGGAGGGAAGGATAAAAGGAGATCAAGTATCCATGATATCACAGTGGTCAATCTCCAAGAAACCAAATCTCCTTCATCGGAACCCTCTTTGGACCATTCGGTTAAGGCTGCGAATGAATCACAAAATCATAAACCGTTTGGCATGGTTAAGCAGGAATATGACTGGAAATCGCAAGATGAGGGTACGCCATTTGTTTTCAATTCAACTAAAGGAAATGTGTTTGTGGCACCGTTGTGCGGGATCTCTTCCCAAGAATCGAAATCACCAAGGCGTAATGTACTTCGAGGCACACACCACGGTTACCAGTTTTCACCTTTCGAAACTATTTTGCAAATGCAATCTATGCAGCATCAATGAAACGGCATGGACTTAAGTTATTCCTTAGGAATTAAAATCTTTGAAGAGATTAGTTCATGTTGTTCTGATATTAAAATTCTGGCACTAAAGTAAACAGAAGTGAAGTTTGAACATGTGTGATATGATTTTCTGATTACTTGTTTGAAAATTTGATTGTACTTAGTAGATTTGAGTGAGCATTTTCCTACATAGACTGTAGTTATATGAAGAGTGCTCTGTGCTGTGCATGAAGAGTTATTATCTCTCAACTTTTTATGAGATGGTTCAAATAAATATGTAGTTCCAAGTTTACTCAAGGGATTGTGTAAATGCATCAATCATGTTGATGTACTAGAACAAGTGGTGTAATTTGTAGCAGAAACTTATATTTGGTATGATTATTTTTGTAAGTCTAAATTAACCGGATTTTGAAATTGGTACGCATTTGCGATGAGTCCTAACTTAAAACATCTATAATGCTATCACTCAAATTTAGGGGTGGTAAAATAGGTCCGGCCCGTCGGACAAGTCCAATTTAACCGTATTTTTTTTACGAGTTAAGTTAAGTTTTTAGGCCCGCAACCTTTAACGTATCTGCCCAAACCTATTTTTTGCGAGCTTTTACATACAATTTTGTAGTTTTTTTGTCCTAAAAGATTCAATGCTCGCGAGTCCGTCTCTTCCCGCCATCACTTGAATTTTAAGTATGCGCTCTCAAATATGTCTGCTTAGCCCCATTTTTTAAGGGTTTTTGCAAGGCAGATTTAAACAGGACAGACATATCTGTTTGCCACCCCGACTCAAACATTGTTCCTAAATTAATTTTGTGGTACATACTATTACAATTGGTCCGTTGCAAGGTGTTTGCGACGGGAAAAGTCCAATAGCATGTGTTAAAAGGGGACACCTCAAACTGGTGGATTTTTATTAGAATTTTAATAGTAATTCATATTTATTTAGTTGTACTATTTTCTTAGTCCCTAAGTTTGTTAGAGGGTATTTTAGTATTTTATCTTATTCTAGTAACCCTAGTTTTAGTTTATAAATAGGGTGACAACCATTGTAACTTTTATCATGTTTTGTAGCTGTCATTCCTAATAGAATATTTCCTCTGTTCATCATTTATTCACCTTTGCACCAACAATTGGTATCTAGAGCTCCGGTTCAGATTCATTGGGAAACACGGGAAACACGAGTGAACGTGAGGTCTTGTGTGTTTGATTTTGATTCTTAGATTCGTGTTGAATCTTGAACAAAATCTGATCAGAATTTTAATTCTGTGGGTTGGGAAACACTGTGTGAGAAATCTGAGTGTATTGTGCAAGGTGAAGATGAACGGAAACGGCAACATGAACACCAAGCTTCCAGTATTTGACGGTAAAAACTGGAATCGTTGGATGATCCAAATGCGTGTACTATTTGGTGCTCAAGATGTTTTAGATCTTGTCACTGATAGTTATGTTCCGGTAGCAGCAAATGCAACGGATGAACAGAAAAACGCGCAGAAGGAAGTAAGGAAGAAGGATCAGAAAACATTATTCTTTATTCATCAATGTGTTGATGTAAATGTGTTTGAGAAGATTGCAGATTCAACGACAGCAAAGGCTGCGTGGGACACACTGGTTAGATGTTATGGTGGTGACGCATCAGTGAAGAAGGTGAAGCTTCAGTCCTTGAGAAAGCAATATGAGAATCTAAACATGAAGAATAATGAGAAAGTTTCTGAATACATCTCCAGAGTGATTCTGATCACTAATGAGATGAAGGCGTGTGGAGAAACTCTTTCTGAAGAAACGATCATGGAGAAGGTATTGAGATCCCTTACCTCTCAATTTGATTACATTGTGGTAGCAATAGAACATTCCAAAGATCTGAGTACCATGAGAATTGAAGAGCTGCAGAGCAGTTTAGAAGCGCAAGAGTTGCGTTTGACTGAGAGAACTTCTGAAAGGGAAGTAGAGCAGCAGGCTCTGAAAGCAACTTCTGATAGGAGGTATCAGAAGCAGTCAGAAGCCAAGAGAAGATCTGATGGTGGTCAGAAGTCAGAAAGCTCAATCTCTGATAGGCAAAAGAATGCCTAGAAGGGAAAAGAGAAGTATGACAAGAAGAAGATTCAATGTTACTGTTGTAAGAAGTTTGGTCACTTTGCTAGAGATTGTTGGTCAAACAAGGAGAAGAAATCAGAAGAAGCAAATATAGCCAGAAGTTCTGATGACGAATCTGTGCTATTGATGACCTTTGAATCTGATGATATGGATCTGACAGACTGGTGGTATATGGACACTGGCTGTTCAAATCATCTTACTGGAAACAAGAAATGGCTGGTTGACTTTGACTCTGAAAAGAGGACAAAGATCAGATGTGCTGATGACAAATATCTTAATGCAGAAGGTATGGGAAATGTTAGAGTGACTCTGAACAATGGGAAAACAGCATTGATTCAGAACGTGTGGTATGTACCTGGCATCAGAAGCAATCTGATGAGTGTGGGACAGTTAATTGAGAAAGGTTTTTCAGTTACCATGAAGGACAATCTTCTGAAGCTGTATGACTACAATCAGAAGTTGATTATGGAGTCAGAACAGGGAAGGAATAGAACATTCAAGGTGAATGTCAGAACTGCAGACTCAGAATGTCTTAGTGCAACATGTGCTGAGAAGGAGAGTGAGCTGTGGCATAGAAGATTTGGTCATTTGAATTTCAGAAGCCTAAAACATCTGAATTCAAAGAAGCTGGTACATGGAATTCATGCAATTAAGAAGCCTGAAAAGTCATGCAAAGTTTGCATGGAAGGAAAACAACCACGTTTGCCATTTGCGTCAGAAGTTGCTCCAAGAGCAAAACATGCCTTGGGAGTTGTACATTCTGATGTGTGTGGTCCATTTCCAGTAGCATCAATTGGAGGGAATAAATACTTTGTGTTATTTGTTGATGAATTCACAAGAATGACATGGGTATCCCTTATTAAGTTCAAACACGAGGTGTTTGATGAATTCAATAAATTCAGAATGAAGGCTGAGAATCAGAGTGGTCAGAAGTTGAAGATTCTTAGAACTGATGGTGGAGGTGAGTATAACTACAAAGAGTTCCAGAAGTTCTGTGAGGAAAATGGAATTGAGCATGAGGTTACTGCTCCTTATACCCCTCAACACAATGGTCTTGCTGAAAGAAGAAACCGCACTTTGCTTGATATGGTGAGAAGCATGCTAAAGGAGAAGAAGCTTCCTCAGAAGCTCTGGGGAGAAGCTGTTGCCACTGCAACGTATGTACTCAACAGATGTCCTACGAATAAGTTGAAGGAAATAGTTCCTATGCAGAAGTGGACTGGAGACAAGCAAAGTGTTAGTCATCTGAAGGTGTTTGGTTCTGTTTGCTATAAACATGTTCCAGAAGCCAGAAGACAGAAGCTGGATGATAGAAGCAAAGTGATGATTCTGATAGGGTACCACAGTACAGGTGCATACAAGCTCTATTGTCCAGAAACCAATAAAATTGAATTCAGCAGAGATGTGATTGTGAAGGAATCAGAAGTTTGGAATTGGGATAAGTCTCCATCCGATTCTGATGTTAGAACTTCTGAAGAAAGGTCAGAGTTAAGAATTTCTGAAGTTGAAGTAAACTCTGACGTTGATTCTGACTCTGATAGTGATTCTGACTCTGAAGAAGACTCAGAAGATGAAGGTGACTCTGATGATTCAGACTCTGATGGTAATCCAAATTCTGGTGGAAATTCAGACTCTGAAGATGGCCAAGACTCTGAAAATATGCCAGATCTTGAAGATGGTCAAAGCTCTAGAGGAAGTCAACCATCTGAAGCTGGAAACTCTGAAGCTCAAGACTCTGAACAAGTTCAGAGACCACAAAGAATCAGAAGCGTTCCCAGAAGATTTGCAGAATTTGACATGCTGCAAGACACTGAAGTAGACTCTGAAGGAGAAGTTATTCAGTGTGCCATGTTAGTAGACTCTGAACCTATAAGTACAGAGGAGGCTCTTAAGCAGAAGCTCTGGCTGAAGGCCATGAAAGAAGAACTTGATGCTACAGAGAGAAACAAGACTTGGAAGCTGACAGAACTTCCAAAAGACAAGAAAGCCATCAGCGTTAGATGGGTTTTCAAGCAGATGTTGAAGCCAGATGGTTCAATTGGCAAACATAAAGCAAGGTTGGTAGCTACAGAAACCTGGGCTGGATTATTCTGAAGTGTTTGCACCTGTAGCAAGACATGAAACAATCAGAATGGTGATTGCAATAGCTGCTAACAGGAATTGGCCTCTGATGCATTTAGATGTAAAATCTGCATTTCTGAATGGTCCATTAGAAGAAGAAGTTTACGTGTCACAACCTCCTGGATTTGTGAAAAAGAATCAGGAAGGGATGGTGTACAGATTATACAAAGCTCTATATGGATTGAAACAAGCGCCCAGAGCTTGGAATCAGAAGATTGATTCATTTTTTAAGAAACAAGGCTTTCAGAAATGTGAGATGGAGTACGGTGTCTATGTTCAGCATACTTCTGAAGGCAATATGACTCTGGTATGTTTATATGTTGATGATATACTATTAACTGGAAGTTCTGAACAGGAGATAGCCAAGTTCAAGAAAGTTCTGATGAATGAATTTGAAATGACTGATCTAGGCAAAATGACATACTTTCTAGGGATGGAGTTCAGATATTCTGAGAAAGGTATCATTTTGCATCAGCTCAAGTATGAATTAGAACTTCTGAAGAGATTTGATCTGAAGAATTGTAAGATGGTTGTCACACCTTCTGATACAAATCAGAAACTGGATTCAGACTCTGAAGGAAAGGATGTGGACGCTACAACCTTCAAACAGTTGGTTGGTTCTCTGAGGTATCTGTGCAATACCAGACCTGATATTTGCTACTCAATTGGGATGGTTAGTAGGTTCATGAGTAAACCTAAGTGGTCCCATTACCAAACTGCTGTCAGGATTCTGAGGTATATCAAAGGAACTCTGAAGTATGGAGTGTTATTTCCCTCTGGAGGAAATAATGAGTC